TGCAACCTTAAGTTCAAAACCAGCTTCGTATGACCTGCGTTTTTGCTTTGGTCCAGGATTAGAAGTATTGGGAGTCCTTTCTTCATGGGACCCTCACTGAGCCTTCTAAGTCAGAGGAAGTCTGTACAACTCTTTAAAATATATTTAAACCTTTGAATTGTATGGTATAGGAATTATATGTCAATAAAATTGTTTAAAAAAATAAGTGAGGATAATGATACTTAATTTAACTTACTTCAAGCATGTTATCAGGAAATATCAGTTCTTGGAAAAGGGCATCATGCTTGGTGTAAAATTTCAGTAAAAAAAGGAAGACCTCCAATGAGATGGATTGACATTGTTATGGCAACAACGGCTCAACCATAGCAACAACATCTGTGAGGATGACACAAGACTAGGCATTGGTTTATTCTGTACATAAAGTCACTGGAGTTGGAACCTAGTCTATGGCACCCAGGAACAAAACAACAGCATGTGCATTCATGTTCATTGCAGCATTATTCCCAATAGAAAAACTTTGGAAACAATCAAACTGCCAATCAATGGACAGATGGACAAACTATGGTACATGCACACAACAGAATATATAATGATAAAGAAAAATCATGAATCTGGAAAACCTCTCACAACATGGAAGAATTTGGAAGACATTATGATGCTAACTGAAGTCAATCACAAAAGTACACAGATTGTATGAGATCACTCATATAACAATAACAACATGCAAACAAGAAAAGGTTTACACATAGAAAACAAACAGAGAAGCACCGCTGCCCCAACCCCATGCCAAATAAAAACAAAACAAAACAAAAATCTGATGGTTACCAGGGATGGGAAAGGGAGTAGAGAAAATGCTTTACAAGATATAGACACGTGTTCATAATGGTGAAAGGTAAGACAAACACAATATGGGGAAAGTCAGCACAATATGACCAAGACAAAGAAAAATAGTGAGAGGAATTCAAGAATAAATAGCAACTATCATAATTATTATAATATAGTAACAACAACAATCACCATAATTACTATACTAGAGTCCATCTTACTAGTCTTAAAAACCAATTTCTTAAAAATGGATATGTAGGTAGATAGGTGGCCAGCTACCACAACTAACTGCTCTGCTGGATCACAACAGAGGATCCTAGATAAAGCAGGAGAAAAATGAAGAACAGCAACAATAGAAAATCAAATTAACAAAAAAGATCGAACTAATTGGCTTGACAGAAATTGGAGGAAACTAGAGACGAAGGCCCTAAGACATCCTTCTGACCTGGAACTGAAGCTATTTATGGAGGTCACCTTTCAGTCAAATAATAGACCATGCCCCAAACAAACTCCACTGCTATCCAGTTGATTCTCAATCATAGTGACAGGTCCACAAAATAAACCTGAGATGAATGTGTTCTTTAGAAGTTCAAAAGAATAACTTGTGCCCCAAATTAGAGGCAGGAATGGACAGAAAATTTTATGAAAACCAACGAAGACCCTGAACTGAAATGGGGAGAGTGCTGAACACATTGTGAGGAATATAGCCAACGCCACAGAACACTACTGAAAGGGAAACCAATTTGCTCTGTAAAGGTTCACCTAAGACACAATTAAAAAAACAAAAACGAAATGTTCAAACACACACACACACACACACACACACACACACACACACACACACACACATATATATATCATATCATATCGGGACTATGTCTGGATGTGTATGTGGACCCCCAAACCCAAGGTGCTTGGCATAAATAAAGAGTAACTGATCCAGACCTAAAGAAAACTCCATTTAAAAATCAAGCTAGGCTTGAAATCTTTTTTTATACCATCATCTCCATTTTATTTTTATGTTATTATCAATTACAATTGTGTAGCCCAGATCCCCCATCTCATTGTACATTTATTTTATTATATGTATTCAGGTGGTTGTTTAGCTTCAACACTTTGGATTGTTGGGCTGTTATGATATTTTCTTTCTAGAGAACTTCCTTTAATATTTCTTGCAGGGCTGGTCTGGTGGTTACAAATTCCCTTACTTTCTGTTTATCTGAGGAAATCCTTATTTCACCCTCACTTTTGAGTGATACTTTTGTTGGATATGTTATTTCTGGTTGAATGTTATTTTCTTTCAAGGCTTTGTATCTGTCACCTCATTTCCTTCTTGCTTGTATAGCTGCTGGTGGGAAATCAGCACTTAATCTTATTGATGCTCCTTTGCAAGTGACATTTCCCTTATCTCATCCTGCTCTCAAAAATCTTAATCTTTGGACCTACTAAGGTTATGATATGTCCGGGGATGTTTCTCTTAGGGTTTAACCTATATGGAGTTCATTGAGTATCTTGAATGATAATCTCATCTTCCATATTTGGGAAATTTTCTGTGAATATTTCTTCAAAAATATCTTTTGGACTTCGTTTCCTCTCTTCTTTTTCTGGAATTCCTATTATGTGTATACTATTTCTCTTTATGTTGACCCACAGAACCCTTATGCTCTGTTCTTTCCCCCCAACTTGTTCTTCAAACTAAATGATGACACCATCTTTGTCTTCTAATTCATTGATTTTTTCCTTCCTTCCATCCATTCTATTCTATTCTAGTTATCTATTCTTCTAGGGAGCTTTATTTATGCTATTTTATTATTAAGCTTTGGAATTTCTACTTGCTTTTTAGTTAAGTTTTGTATCTTATTAAATTCCTTGATTTGGGGGGAGCGGAGAGGGAGGAGAAAAATGAGGAGCTGATGCCAGGGGCTTAGGTGAAGAGCAAATGTTTTGAGGATGATGAGGACAATGAATGTACAAATGTGTTTTACACAATTGATGTATGTATGGATTGCGATACGAGTTGTATGAGCCCCTAATAAAGTGATTAAAAATCAAACAAACAAAAATTCCTTGATTTGCTTTCATAGATTCTCTGAATTCTTCTAAGAAAACATTTCACCATGTTTTCCTTTATCCCATTGAGAAACCTTAATAGTAGTTTTTGGATGTCTTTGTTGAGAATTTCAAGTGGCTGAAATATTAAGCTTATCTTTCATTGGTGATGAAACAGAAAACATCCACTGCCCTAAAGATTCACATGCTTTAATATATTTCGCAATTCCTTCCAAAAGTTTCTTTTCGCCTTTTTGCTCATCAGTGCTAAGTGATATAAATATGTTCTGAGAGACTACTTCTGTGCTGGTAATGCTGGCTGAGGCTCTAAATTAAAAGAACCTATTGATGGCTTTCCTGATCTCTGCTGTGCTGCCCTCCGCAGCCCCCTCCCCCCTTCTTGCTTTCCCACCATGGGCCAGAGTTGGAGGAACTGGATGGCTGGATGACACCAGAGTAGTACCTCTGGTTTGGGTCATTCCTTGCTCATCTGTTACTACCTGAGGGCTGTTGCTGAGGTTGCTGCCATCCCCCAACTGCACCACTGGCACCGGGATGTTCATTCCAGTACCCATCTCCAAAGCGGCATCGGCCTTGAAGGAAGAATTGACAAATTACATGGACACCATTAGCTTACAGAGTGATCTTTACTAAGTACCCAAGTTAAATTAAATCCATTGCTGAGCAACCGAAGGCATGCAGCCTCACTCCTGTAACATCATCAGCTTGAGCTGGAGAAAGGCCGCTGGTCCTTCTAGGCTTGAAATCTTGATCACTCTTCTAATGAGGCAATTCAGCATCTTGTCAAATTAAAGAAAAAAGATGTAAGGGTGATTAGGATTTTTATTTTAGCTATTTAATTATTTGTTAAAATATATTTGTCAAGAATGTTTTGTAGCTTGTCCTGGGGAAAATATTATGGTCAAGTTAGAAATAGATTGATAATGCTAGAAAATAAAAGTTAGAAAATAGAAATGGTAATGTTAAGATGAAGAAAATTGCCATTGTCTTGTAACTGTAACTAAGATGAAGTAAAAGCCAATTAACCAGGTCTTCATCTAATTTACTAACTTTCTCCAACCAGACTGATTATTCACTCATTGAGACTGTCACCCTGTTTCTGCTGACTTTTGGTAAAATCTATATTTAAGGTAGACATATGGCTTGTTTATATGATAAGAAAAAAAATCAAACATGCATAAAACTGACTTAGTGTTTTCTGGAATGCCAACTAATGTATTTTCTGATGATAAAAAGGATGTCTTAGTCAAATACGTTGTATTAAATTGGAGATTAATGTTAGGTTACATATTGATATAAAAATGTTATAGTTAAAAAAAAAAACTTCAGCCAACAATTTCCCTATTAGGTAGATACCTGAAAGACTTGAAAGCCGAGACTCAGAGACTTATACACAAATGTTTATTACAATACTATTCGCAATAGCTGAGAGTTGGAAACAATGTAAGTGCCCATTAAGAGATGAATGTATAAACAAAATGTGTTACTAACATTCAATGGAATACTATTTAGCCAGCATGAGAAAAGCAGGCTTAAAATGTGCTAAAATAAGAATTGAGCTTGAAGACATTATGTTTAAGCACAAAGGGATACATATTGTATGGTCTAACTTAAAAACAAAAATCAAATATTAATAGTAGAGGAACAACTCAGAAAAGGAGAATGAAAATGTTTGCACAACTCAAAAAATATACTCATTGCCATGTAACTGTGTGCCTGTAAATTGTTGAGTTGGTGTATGTCCTGTTGTGCACATTCACAAAACAGCAAAAATAAAATCAATTATAAAAAGACGAAGAAAGCCTTCAGAATGATGATGGCCACAAATGTACAAATGTGCTCGACACAATTGTTGTAAGTATGGATTGTTATAAGAGTTGTACGAGCCCCCAATAAAATGATTAAAAAAAAGAATAAAGCATTTCCTAGAATTAAAGATAAAAAAGGCTTCAGCTCAGCCTCTCATATCTGAAGATTCCAGTAGTGGAACCCCAACCGCCTCGGTTGTATCATAGTGTCGCAGTTTTGCACCAAATTTCCTGGCTTTGTGAAAGGTGGGAGAGTCAATCGCCTTTGAGTTCATTTTCACTCACTGATGTCTCATTTCAAGGCCCAGGGTTTCCTCTTACACAGCACTCCAGTTGAAACTCACAGTAGGAAACTAACATTTCAGCTGTAAAACATTCAAATCGGCAGATGCCGTTTTCATTACATTTTCTGTTGAGTGTTGATGAAAATGGCTTCATTTCTGAAAAGAAAAATCAATGGAAAGATAATTTACCAAAAACTCTTTTTTTAGGCCAGGAGTTACTGGAGTCCCTTAATTTTTTCTGTATTGGATTCCAAAGAGACTTGGTCATAATAATTGATTTTGTTATTAAATGTAACGATTTAATTCATTTATATTTAATTATTTATAATTAATTGATTATTACAATTTGAAGTTTGCCCAAAATTTTCACTTCACATGTTCAAAATATAAAGTTAATGATGCATGTAGTATTTCCCTATTGATTGATTTTTTTTCCCAAACCAGTTTTTATAAAACCCATGAACAAAGTACTGTAAGGGTACAAATCTGAGAATGATATATACCTTATCTTTAAGGAACTTGCAATATAGCCAGGAGGAGAAGAAAGAAGGTTTCTGTGGGAGAATGGGGCAGTGTGAAAAGTGCAAGGAGATGTTCGCAACATGAAACGGGATTGTGGGTTCAGAAGAGGGTGAAAGTAACTTTAACTCGGAAGATTTAGGAAGTCTGACAGGAGTTCAAGACATTTGAGCTGCATTTATAATTTTGTAGCATACTAATATTTATAATAATCAAATATGAATTTTTCTGTTCTCATATGTAAGAGACCGTGAAAAAAAAAGAATGCCAATATTTAGCACCTAACACATATCCCACTTACTTTATCATGTCTTAGAGAATAAGTATCCTATATGATACAAGGGGATCAGATAACACAGTTAGCAAGAGGGAAGCCCAAATTGATTATCTGTAGCACTTTTGGAAAAATAAATTATAAAGGTATAGACAAGAAAAGAAATTCTCATGGATTGATAACGTATGCTGTTGGGTGCCGTCTCCTCTGTTCTGACTCATAGCAACCCTGTGTACAACGGAAGGAAACTGTCCGGTCCTGTGCCATCCTCACCATCGTTATGTTCGAGCCCATCGTTGGGGCCACTCTGTCAATCTACCTTGTTGTGGGTCTTCCTCTTTTCCCCTGCCTCTCTAACAAGAATAATGTCTCTTTCCAGGGACTGGCCTCTTCTGATAACAGCTCCAAAGTACATGAGATGAAGTCTCATGCCCTCTTCTAAGAAGCATTCTGTCTGTACTTCTTCCATGGTACTTCCAATATTCTTTGGCAGCACCATAATTCAAATGCATCAGTTCTTCTTTGGTCTTCTTTATTTAATGTTCAACTTTCACATGCAGGTGAGGCCAATTAAAAATACCTTGGCTTGGGTCAGGTGCCAACTTAGTCTTCACTCTAACATTTCTGCTTTTCAACACTCTAAAGAGGTCTTGGGCTGCCGAGTAACCCAATGCCATATGCTGTTTGATCTCTTGACTGCTGTTTGCATGTGGATCCATGCAAGACAAAATCCTTGACAACGTCAATCTTTTCTCCATTTATCGTGATGTTACCCTTTGGTTCAGTTGTGGTGCTATTGGTTTTCAACACATTAAGTTGTAATCCATACTGAAGATGGCAATCCTTGATTTTCTTCAAGTGCTTCAAGTCCTCATCACTTTCAGCAAGATGATTGCATCATCTGCATATCACAGGTTGTTAATAAACCTTCTTCCAATTCTGATGCAGCAATCTTTTTCATACAGTCCAGATTTTCTGATTATTTGATCTGCATACAAATTGAATAAGTATGGCGAGAGAATACAACGCTGACAAACAACTTTTCTTATTCTAAACCATGTAGTGTTCCCTTGGCTTGTTTACACACCTGCTTCTTGATTCCCGTACAGGTTCTGTACAAGCACAGTGAAGGGCTCTGGAATTCCTCTTCTTCTCAAAGCTATCCGTAGTTTGTTATGATCCACACAGTCAAATACTTTGGCCTTGTTAATAAAACACAAGTAGGCATCTTTTTGGTATTCCCTGCTTTGGGCCAAGATCCACCTGGCATCAGCAATACATCCTTTCTCCCGTGTACTCTTCTGAATCCAGCTTGAATTTCTGGTAGTTCCTGCTAATGGTACGACTGCAACCATGGTTGGATGATATTCAGGAAAATTTTACTTGTATGTGATACCAGTGATGTTGCTCTATAATTTGTACTTCTGTTGGGTCACTTATCTTGGAATGGGTACAAATATGGATCTCTTCTAGTTGGTCGGCCAAGTAGTAGCTGTTTTCTAAATTTCTTGACATATACGAGTCAGTGTTTCCAGTGCTTCCTCAGTCTGCTGGGACATTTCATTTGGTAATCCATCAATTCTTGCAGCCTTATTTCTCATTAATGTTGTCCATGAAGCTTGGACTTCTTCCTTCAGTAGCACTGGTTCTTGCTCATCTACTGTGGTTGAATGAAATGGTTGAATATTGACTAGGTTTTTTGAGGGGGTTGTGGGGGGGGGATATAGTGACTCTGTGTATTCTTTCATTCTTCTTTGGATGCTTCCTCCCTCATTCATTATTTTGTCCATTGAATAATTCAATATTGCAACTCAAAGTTTGATTTTTTTCTTCAGTTATTTCAGTTTATAATACAAAATTTTTCGTTTAACTCTTTCACCTCCTCATTTCTTCCATTTCTCTTAGCTGCTCTGTCCTTAAGGGTAGGCTTCAGAGTCTTTCCTCACATACCTTTGATCTTTTGTTTTGTTCCTCTTTTTAAAATGCCTCTTACTTTCTTCATGTCGGGGGTTCTTGATGTCATCAGGTCTTCTGTCATAGGAGTTCAATGTGTCAAAACTGTTCTTGAGATGTTTTCAAAATTCACACGAGGTATCTTCTAGGCAGTATTTTGGCTTTTAGGGATTTATTTTAATTTTCTTCAACTTCAATCTGAATGCATACATGAGCAACTGATGGCTTGTTCCACAGTTAGTCCCCTAATGTATAGAAATATATAAACATCCCCTAAGTAGATTATTGAAGACTAGACAAGATGGACGACTGTTTAAAGGCCATTTCTACAAACAATAATGGAGTAGGATTATTCAATAATTTCAAGATACTGGCTACCATGTGTTCTGAAAGGACCCGTAGTGGTGACACATTGGGATGTAATCCACTAGGTTGGCAGTTTGAAACCACTAGTGGCTCCATGGGAGAAAGATGGGACTTTCTGCTTCCGTAAACAGTTACAGGTTCAAAAACTCAAAAAGGGGCAGTTCTACCCAGTCCTATAGGGTTGCTATGAGTTGAAATTGAGTTTGTTATTTTGATATTTGTGTTCTTCAATCCAGTCTATTGAATCACATGATCTGAAAATTTGATTCCTCTGCCTAGAGGTACTTCAGGGAGGTTGAGAAATAGGATGTGATAGTCTATGGGTTTGGACAGATAGAGTAATAGGGAGTGAGGAGAATATTCATGATAAAATTTCTAAAATCAGAAACTAATATGGCCAAGTTGGTATATGAAACAAGTCATTGTTTTCTCTCATGTCTTACTAGCTGCTTCCTCATCTGATAAGACATTTCCTTGCAACATCACAGAAAATTTATTGCTTATCTTGAAATGATTTATTCCAAATCTGTTCCCCCCCTTTATCCAAGGGATCTAGAATCAATACATTACCTCTAAGCCATTTCAATATATTAGAAAGTCTAAGAAAACATGCTATCACTATTTCCAACTTTTGCGTAGTATGCCTAGATACATTGTTGGTGTTGCTGTCAAGCCAATTCTGACTCAGGAAGATACTATGCGTGTAGGATGGAACTGCTCCATAGGGCTTTCCAGGCTGTGGGATATCAGAACTAGATCATTAGTAGATAATTAGTAGATCATAAGTAGATTCCAGGCTGTGGCATATCAGAAGTAGATCATTAGGCCCATCTTCGAGGGTACCTTAAGGTGGGTCCTAACAATCAACTTTTTGGTTAATATTTGAGTGCTTAATCATTTGAGTCACCCAGGGACTCCATGCCTTGATATATGTCCTTTAAGAAGAACAACAACAGCAACAACAATAACAACAAAACAACAACAGCAGCAACATATGATGGAGCACTCCTTAGGAAAATATAATGATAGCTCTTGTGTGCAGGTACTTTATGATCTGTGGTATACATGATTTGATTTAATCCTTGTTAAGATTCTGAGGTAACCATTACTATTTCCATTTTTCAAATAAAGAAGCTAAAGTCCAGAGAAGCTCAGCACTTTTCTCAAAGCTATAGCGCTTACAAATTGGTAGCCATGATTCAGGCACTTCTGACTTCAAAACTACTTGAAGCTTTTTCCAGTTTGAAAGTTAAAGAATCCATTGTAATTAGACATTCATGAGGTTGCTCAGTGGGATTAACTTCTAGATGAAAGACCACTGGAGGGATTCCCATATTACCTGCCAGCACTGGATCCCACAAGAAGAGAAAGGCAAACACAAGGAGGAGGATGTTCATGACCAGGGGCTTCTGTTGAGGAGCCTGGTGACAGGGCCTGACACTGGCAGTCCGAGAACAGAGAGGACGGTGAGCTTGAGGCCTGACTCCTTTACAAACCGCTCAGATCTCTAGATACCCTGCTCCAATAAGCAGCCCTGAGGCCGCCAGTTGGCAAAGCTTGCCCGCCCGAGGACAAAAATGACCGTCCTTTCCTGCTTGACAGCTTTTCCCCTTGACAAAGGCGATATTCCCCCCCCCCCGCCCCCCGACTGCCTTTTTAAAGGACTCAAAAGAGATCTAAGAAGTCCTCCTTTTAAGAAAAACAAAAACCCAATTCATAAGCATACAATTAAGACATTATTTTTAGAAACTTCAAAATGTTAAAAATGACAAAGAATAGTTATACGTGAGCCCCACATTTCAAAGGCAATCTGTGTATTTCCTCAACATGTTTCTTCTTTGCCTAGTTTTAAATATTTTATCTTGCATAGTTATGTGCTTATTATGCTCTTAGCTAGGCATCTGGCTTTTCAAACTTGATCTACACCATGATCATTTTATGTTCTTATAAACCCTTCACAAATTATATTTTAAATACTACAGAATTATTCACCAAGATCATTTTGAAAACAGTTGCTATTTAAAATTTTTTTTTATTTTTAACAGTTGCTATTTTAAAAACATCTTTAAACACACAAAAACAACCAAGCATCGAGTTGATGCCGACTTGACTCATAGTGATCCCATAGTAGAATTGCCCCCTGTGAGTTTCCCAGGGGAGATTAGTGAGGTGGGCAAAGGACCTGACTAGACAATTCACAAAGGAAGATACTGGAATGTCTAACAAGCACATGAGGACATGCTTTCATTCACTAGTCATCAGGAAATACAAAGCAAAATGATGAGTTACCACCTTACACTCACAAACAAGCTCAATTGAAAATGAAAAACAGAGAGCAACAAATGCTGGAGTGTGGAGAGACTGGAATGCTCCTATGTTGCCGGTGGGCTTATAAATAAATACAACCACTGTGAAAAGAAATATGGTGATTCCTAAGGCAGTTGACAATAGAAATAACACATGACCCAGCAATACCATTGCTGGGCATGTACCCCAAAGAAATAAGAGACAGATCACAAAGAGATACATGTCCCCTATGCTCATTGCAGCGCAGTTCATAATAGCAAGAAGATGGAAAATCTTAAATTCCCATCATTAGGAGAATGGGTAAAAAAAACAACAAAGCAAACCAACCCTTGGTATATACATGCAATGGAATACTATGCATTCCTAAAACACAGTGATGAAACGAAACACCTCACAACCTGGAAAGATCTGGAAAGCATTATGCTGAGTAAAGTTAGTCAATCACAAAAAGGACAAATACTGTATGAGTCCACGGCTGTAAGAACAAACACCAAGATGAAGGCAAACTCATTCTTTCAGGTCATGCAGCTCACTAACCAAGGCTGCCAAGCAATGTGGTAGAGAGTCAGACCAGTGCCCATGAAGCACACTCCATCCTCTTTATGTGACTATCTTGAAAACTGCTTTGAAAGAGGAGTCCTCATTTCAGCTGGGAGCAGATTTTCAAGAGCGGGGAAAAGGAAGATGATCATTTAGAGGCTGCCATGCAAAAATGTGATCTGGTCCCTCAAACCAGCCACCGTTCTTATCAGAGTGTAAATGATACTGATGGGAAAATCAAGTCAAGAGGGGGAAAGGGGATCATATATGTCTTCGAAAAGACAAGGGCACTTTTTTATTGGTAGAAAAAGGGGACACCCAATCTCCTAGCCAGGAAATAATGACTAACAATACTTTCACTGACCCCAAGGATAGAGTATGCCTCGTACTAGGTTCCTAATAGAGGTCATTGGTCTGAGTTTCTGTTCACTTCCTGGGGAACTAGGGCATGGGTCATAGAATACTGGGGCATTGAACCCTGGATCTTCCAGATACACAGCATAATCCAAAGGTCATACTAGAGGGATGTGATGTAGAAACCCCATTAGGTGAATGGTGCTGTACTTAAAACACACCTGTAATCTCAAGATTTAAGTCCAAAATTATAAGGAGTTTGAGAAACAGAGGATAGCTATACTGCTGGAGCAAGAGTATAGATCTTTTGGCAGATGGACTACTTACTGCTTCAATATCCTACTTTATTTAATAAGACATGTATTGTTTTGGCAGTCCTGTGCCTGAAATTGTCAGTAGATAGTACTGTAAGCTTTGCTTGACCACAAGTTCTCATTATTTGTGTAAATAGTTAGACTTGTATGGACTTAAAGCTCAATAATCCATATTTTACAATTTGTAGTTAGCCTACACTTGTTTAATCTCCCTTTCTCAATTGTGTTTTAAATACATTATCATGGGCTACATCAAAGACACTATAATCAGAAGGACCCTATGCTCCAGGAAGATGATCTATATGATTCTACCATAAAATAACAAAAACATCTCTAAGTTGAACCAGAGGCAGATAGAAAACAGACTAGATCTTGCAAATGTATTTTGGGCTTCCAGGTCATTCATAGCTTTTTCAAATTGGGTATACATGATTTAACTTCTGATACCATTCCCTCCTTCAGATTTAGATTTTATTTTTGTAATCCTTGGATAAGATAGGCTGATGTGCTTCTTCTATGAGGATTTAGTTGATGTCTCACTTGAATGGCTGCTTGTTTGCAGATAAGCCTTTATGATCGTAGAGGCGATTCTCTTTGGTAGCTGGCGCCATCTGCTTTCTTCACCACACTTTTCTATAGCATCTATATCTTTAGTAATTTCTTCATGGGGGAGAGCATCAAGTGGGACCATGTCAAAATAAATAATTGTTCCAGAATTATGGGTCTAGAATTAAGTGTGAGCCAAAAATCTATTCATATAGCTATGGTTTATATATATATCTGGTTAAGAGTTTAATCTGTACAAGTCCATAATACATGTATTGAGATTGGAAACTGACCTATACTTGTACAAATTTCCTTTTCTCAACTGTTTTAAATTCTATACCATTGGCTAAATTAATAACCCTATCAATAGAATCACCTTATGCACTAGAGGGATGATTTATAATGTTCTCTAATAAAATGAGATGTTTGTTTTGATAATGAAAATGACAACCTTCCTCTTCAGTTTGCCATTTGTATGGTAAACCATATGGTGGCCCAATCCAAAGTGGCCAATACCAGTCCATTTTGTTCATTATTGCCTATGATATCAATCTTTATGCATTGACTTTTTGATAACTTACAATTTCCCTAGATTCATACTTTGTATATTGCATATTCTGATTATTATTTGATGTTTGCAACTGTTTCTTCTCATTTTGAGTTGTGCGCCATCAACAAATAGAGATCATGAAAACTTTATTCAAACCAGGTCATGAATATCGACTACCTTTTGAGTAGGCATCTTTACCCCAGCTGCATTTTGAATGCCTTTCAGCCTGAAGAACTATTTTCTGGCATTATATCAGAAACTATACCACTGTTATTCATATAGTTTTGGTGGATTATCCATCATAAGTGGACCATGTATTCATTCTTCTTAGTATGTTTTTAGTCTGGATGCGCCCCTGAAAACTGTTCCACGGCTCACTCTGCTGGTCTTTGAAATACCTGTGACATTGCTTCCAGCATCACAGCCACACACAAACCACCACAATATAACAAACTGGCGGATGAGTGGGGATTTTTGTGTTATAAACTGGGAAATTAACTTTACAAATATTCCAGATTTTTCCACCTAGTGGAGTTTTTAGGAGTCTAGTGGAATTGGCATGTTGAGATTCTCCTAATAAAGTAAAGGATACATTATTGCTCTGTCTCTTTGAATGTTGTAAGCAACAGCACCTATATTGGGGTTATAACTTACTGTGGCACATATACCAAGTGACTCTTAACACTGCTAGGTTTGAGTGGGGCTCTGAAGAAGAGAAGATTCTGTCACAGGTTGAGACTTCCCTACAAGCTGCTTTGTCATTTGGGTCATATGATCCACCTAATATAATTGGGCTTGGAGTGTTAGTGGCAGATAGTGATGCTATTTGGATACTTTGGCTGGCCCCTATTGGTGAATCACAGTGCAAATCCTTAGAATTTTGGACCAAAGCCCTGCCATCCTTTGCAGATAAGTATTGTTTATTTGAAAAGCAACTTTTGATTTACCACTGATCCTTAGTAGAGATGGCACTTAACCACGGTCATGGTTAGAATTTATTTCAACTAGGCACTCCTGGGTGAAGGGAAGTGTAGAGCCCAACCTATCAATCAGGTTGCAGCATGATGACACCTCCTTGAGGGTGTGGTCTTTTGTATAAAGGCAATATCTTAAGCCGCACTGACTTCTCATTTGCCCTTTCCCTTCTGTTGGAGCAGGATCCTGTGTCTGGCTTATCAATCTTCTGTTGTGTTGCCAACCATTTCTAGGAGCCGCCAGTGAACTGCCAACCTTGGGTTAATTTGGCCAACCTCAGATTCATTTACCTCTGCATCCACCATCCTACTTTGTCTGTATGCCTCCTGTTTTGTCATCCTGCTTCCTGTTCATCAGCTTCCAAAGATGAATCAGAGAAGCCTTCAGCTCCCATCCGACTGATAAACTTGAACCAGACTTAACTGTGTAAGTCATTTCTTGATATGAATCTGTTTATGTGCACACACACACACACACACACACAAACACACATCACTGATTTTGCCTTTCTAGAGAACCCCAGCTAACACATTTGACACCAGGGGTAGTTCTAGAGAAACAAAATCATAAAGATGAGTTTTCTAAATTGATCCTTAAGTCTAATTAGACCTAAAGCACTGAAAAACTCCACCTCTGTCTTTGTAAGTATGGATAAGTCTGCCACTATTAGTAAATAGGGCATTGTTAAGTCACGAAGTGGCAAAGCTAATACCCCAAACAGCACCACCAATCAATGAAGTATTGGTGAGAAGTGAGGCTCTGGGTGATCATGTGTTTGATATTTTTCTATAATTTTGTCAGGATGAGAAGT